AGACAGACTGTCCTAAGGCAAACCGTCTTAAGGCAGATTGTCCGGGTATCATTCATTTGAGCGATAGTATAAGAACATTGATGTGATGTGTACTATGGGAAGGGTTTAATTGATGAGGATCTCGTTTCATTCGTGTGATTGATTTCGGAATGTGGAATTGTAATAATGAAAGATGTGAATTGGCGAATTTCAGTTCGATTTTAGTATTTCTTCAAATGAATATTACTTTGAATCAGTTAGGTGTTCCTCTTAAAGAAGAATTTTTCGTTGACATATGCGAAATTTTCAGAAGGATTGGCCAATCAACTCGACACAGTGTTCGAGGAACCAAAGATGGTCAACGACAGTCATTGGAAGAGCAGATGAAGAAGTGGCAAAATGATCCACTGGAAACGGTTTCAGCGTTTTTCATTGATGAACGAGAGAGTATTCTGAAGATATTGAAGTAGTCAATCGAGAGTATTATAATTTCTGCATAAACGAATCGTTTCTGTAATTTCGTTCTCATGTTGTGTTTTGGAAACTGAAAATTTTTCGATTGTTTTATTCCTGTGAATGTTTTATAATNCTCATGTTGTGTTTTGGAAACTGAAAATTTTTCGATTGTTTTATTCCTGTGAATGTTTTATAATTGTGTATGCGGATCGGGGAATATTAATTCATTGATTCAAATAATTTGTTTCTAACTGAAGCAAATTGGTTGTCTGAAGATTGTAAAAAATGCTGTCGTAGTATTTCATGTGATTTAGGTATCTATAAATGAATTATAAATGATTGTCTTTAAAGTTTGGCTTGATTATCTTGTATTGTAACGCATTGTGTGTAGGCATGATAAGGTTTATATTGATTGTTATGTTGATCAACTTGTCATACGTTGTCAGTTTGCATATTGTCGAATATCGAAATTTATATAGATAGATGATATTCATAATCGAGGCATTGTACAAACAGATCAACGTTAAAATTTTAGTGGATATCGTCTGTGATTGTATAGGTATAGGTTGACGTTGATAAATGATGCGATTTAATGTATTCATTATCAAGGTTGTATTATTTCATGTAATATTATTATTGTGAATTGTATCTTGGAAATTTCTGATATTTATTTATGTATTTAAAGTGTTGTGTAATCGACGTATGCATGTATAATCTGAAGACTTTTTTGTAGTTGTAAATGTTGAAAAGATATATTCCTGTTTGATAATTTCATTGTTTATGTATTATGTTGATATTTTGGTGGTAGCGAAATAAATGCTTACGATTGAAAGGCTTGAAGTATACTGTGGATTTTGAACAGTTCATAACATTAAAACGCATAACATGGAAATTTTTCTGATAGGTCTTTTGAGATAGGCAAGAGCACGCGAATAATATCATAAANAATACAGTACTGGCATAATCATAATGATAGTAGCGGTACTGATATAGTTGTGGTACGTGATCTTGAGTACAGCTGGTACAGCAATCGTATTGTCTGGGTTTTACGGATAACAAATGAGCACTATATACAGTCAAGGATAAGGGACCAATAAGGTATATGTTATGATTAAGTGATAACACTAAATCAAAGCATATGAATATGTGCAGGTAAGTAACTGATCGAATATTCAGTGCCATGACGGCCTACTCAAAATAAATCCACGAGATCTATTGGATCAACTCGCTGACCCGATCGATCCTTCTTACAATTAGGTATCTTTCTCATGTATGATCTAGTTAGTGCCTTTTGTATATGTTCATTAAACACTTCTTCCATTCCTAGAAGCACTTATTTGTTTATCCCTTTATTTGCATTGTTCAATTGTGCTATAGACATTCATTTCTGCACCTTCAGAGTGTATATGTGAAGATCTCTCAAAAGCATTCTGCAATAGCTATGCAAATATTTATCCACACTACACGCTATTCACCACAATATATCCAACCAAATATCTATCTCCAAATCTTATTCATTCAATTGTTTTCAAGTGAAGTCAAACGATGGATGATCCAAT